CTCTGGTTGTCTCTAGTTGTCTCTGCTTGTCTCCAATTGTCTCTGGTTGTCTCCAGTTGTCTCTGGTTGTCTCCAGTTGTCTCTGGTTGTCTGTAGTTGTCCCTGGTTGTCTCTAGTTGTCTCTGGTTGTCTGTAGTTGTCTCTGGTTGTCTCTAGTTGTCTCTGCTTGTCTCCAGTTGTCTTTGGTTGTCTTCAGTTGTCTCTGCTTGTCTCTTGTTGTCTTCAGTTGTCTCTATTTATCTCCAGTTGTCTCTGGTTGTCTTTAGTTGTCTCTGGTTGTCTCCAGTTGTCTCTATTTGTCTCCAGTTGTCTCTGGTTGTCTTTAGTTGTCTCCAATTGTCTCTGGTTGTCTTCAGTTGTCTCTGGTTGTCTTTAGTTGTCTCTGGTTGTCTTCAGTTGTCTCTGGTTGTCTTTAGTTGTCTCCAATTGTCTCTGGTTGTCTTCAGTTGTCTCTGGTTGTCTTTAGTTGTCTCTAGTTGTCTCTGGTTGTCTTTAGTTGTCTCTGGTTGTCTTTAGTTGTCTCCAATTGTCTCTGGTTGTCTTCAGTTGTCTCTGGTTGTCTCTAGTTGTCTCTGGTTGTCTTTAGTTGTCTCTGGTTGTCTCTAGTTGTCTCTGGTTGTCTTTAGTTGTCTCTAGTTGTCTCTGGTTGTCTTTAGTTGTCTCTGGTTGTCTTTAGTTGTCTCTGGTTGTCTTCAGTTGTCTCTGGTTGTCTTTAGTTGTCTCCAATTGTCTCTGGTTGTCTTCAGTTGTCTCTGGTTGTCTTTAGTTGTCTCTAGTTGTCTCTGGTTGTCTTTAGTTGTCTCCAATTGTCTCTGGTTGTCTTCAGTTGTCTCTGGTTGTCTCTAGTTGTCTCTGGTTGTCTTCAGTTTTCTCTGGTTGTCTTTAGTTGTCTCTAGTTGTCTCTGGTTGTCTTTAGTTGTCTCTGGTTGTCTTTAGTTGTCTCTGGTTGTCTCTAGTTGTCTCTGGTTGTCTTTAGTTGTCTCTAGTTGTCTCTGGTTGTCTTTAGTTGTCTCTGGTTGTCTTTAGTTGTCTCTGGTTGTCTTCAGTTGTCTCTGGTTGTCTCTAGTTGTCTCTGGTTGTCTTTAGTTGTCTCTAGTTGTCTCTGGTTGTCTTTAGTTGTCTCTGGTTGTCTTTAGTTGTCTCTGGTTGTCTTCAGTTGTCTCTGGTTGTCTTTAGTTGTCTCCAATTGTCTCTGGTTGTCTTCAGTTGTCTCTGGTTGTCTTTAGTTGTCTCTGGTTGTCTCTGGTTGTCTTTAGTTGTCTCTGGTTGTCTTTAGTTGTCTCCAATTGTCTCTGGTTGTCTTTAGTTGTCTCTGGTTGTCTCTAGTTGTCTCTGGTTGTCTCTTCAGTTGTCTCTGGTTGTCTTTAGTTGTCTCTAGTTGTCTCTGGTTGTCTTTAGTTGTCTCTGGTTGTCTTTAGTTGTCTCTGGTTGTCTTCAGTTTTCTCTGGTTGTCTTTAGTTGTCTCTAGTTGTCTCTGGTTGTCTTTAGTTGTCTCCAATTGTCTCTGGTTGTCTTCAGTTGTCTCTGGTTGTCTTTAGTTGTCTCTGGTTGTCTTTAGTTGTCTCCATTTGTCTCTGGTTGTCTTTAGTTGTCTCTGGTTGTCTTTAGTTGTCTCTGGTTGTCTTTAGTTGTCTCTGGTTGTCTTCAGTTTTCTCTGGTTGTCTTTAGTTGTCTCTAGTTGTCTCTGGTTGTCTTTAGTTGTCTCCAATTGTCTCTGGTTGTCTTTAGTTGTCTCCAATTGTCTCTGGTTGTCTTCAGTTGTCTCTGGTTGTCTTTAGTTGTCTCTAGTTGTCTCTGGTTGTCTTTAGTTGTCTCTGGTTGTCTTTAGTTGTCTCCAATTGTCTCTGGTTGTCTTCAGTTGTCTCTGGTTGTCTCTAGTTGTCTCTGGTTGTCTTCAGTTTTCTCTGGTTGTCTTTAGTTGTCTCTAGTTGTCTCTGGTTGTCTTTAGTTGTCTCTGGTTGTCTAGTTGTCTCTGGTTGTCTCTAGTTGTCTCTGGTTGTCTTTAGTTGTCTCTAGTTGTCTCTGGTTGTCTTTAGTTGTCTCTGGTTGTCTTTAGTTGTCTCTGGTTGTCTTCAGTTGTCTCTGGTTGTCTTTAGTTGTCTCCAATTGTCTCTGGTTGTCTTCAGTTGTCTCTGGTTGTCTTTAGTTGTCTCTAGTTGTCTCTGGTTGTCTTCAGTTGTCTCTGGTTGTCTTTAGTTGTCTCCAATTGTCTCTGGTTGTCTTCAGTTGTCTCTGGTTGTCTCTAGTTGTCTCTGGTTGTCTTCAGTTTTCTCTGGTTGTCTTTAGTTGTCTCTAGTTGTCTCTGGTTGTCTTTAGTTGTCTCTGGTTGTCTTTAGTTGTCTCTGGTTGTCTCTAGTTGTCTCTGGTTGTCTTTAGTTGTCTCTAGTTGTCTCTGGTTGTCTTTAGTTGTCTCTGGTTGTCTTTAGTTGTCTCTGGTTGTCTTCAGTTGTCTCTGGTTGTCTTTAGTTGTCTCCAATTGTCTCTGGTTGTCTTCAGTTGTCTCTGGTTGTCTTTAGTTGTCTCTAGTTGTCTCTGGTTGTCTTCAGTTGTCTCTGGTTGTCTTTAGTTGTCTCCAATTGTCTCTGGTTGTCTTCAGTTGTCTCTGGTTGTCTTTAGTTGTCTCTAGTTGTCTCTGGTTGTCTTTAGTTGTCTCTGGTTGTCTTTAGTTGTCTCCAATTGTCTCTGGTTGTCTTCAGTTGTCTCTGGTTGTCTTCAGTTGTCTCTGGTTGTCGTTAGTTGTCTCTGGTTGTCTTCAGTTGTCTCTGGTTGTCTTTAGTTGTCTCCAATTGTCTCTGGTTGTCTTCAGTTGTCTCTGGTTGTCTTTAGTTGTCTCTGGTTGTCTTTAGTTGTCTCCATTTGTCTCTGGTTGTCTTTAGTTGTCTCTGGTTGTCTTTAGTTGTCTCTGGTTGTCTTTAGTTGTCTCTGGTTGTCTTCAGTTTTCTCTGGTTGTCTTTAGTTGTCTCTAGTTGTCTCTGGTTGTCTTTAGTTGTCTCCAATTGTCTCTGGTTGTCTTTAGTTGTCTCCAATTGTCTCTGGTTGTCTTCAGTTGTCTCTGGTTGTCTCTAGTTGTCTCTGGTTGTCTTCAGTTTTCTCTGGTTGTCTTTAGTTGTCTCTAGTTGTCTCTGGTTGTCTTTAGTTGTCTCTGGTTGTCTTTAGTTGTCTCTGGTTGTCTCTAGTTGTCTCTGGTTGTCTTTAGTTGTCTCTAGTTGTCTCTGGTTGTCTTTAGTTGTCTCTGGTTGTCTTTAGTTGTCTCTGGTTGTCTTCAGTTGTCTCTGGTTGTCTTTAGTTGTCTCCAATTGTCTCTGGTTGTCTTCAGTTGTCTCTGGTTGTCTTTAGTTGTCTCTAGTTGTCTCTGGTTGTCTTCAGTTGTCTCTGGTTGTCTTTAGTTGTCTCCAATTGTCTCTGGTTGTCTTCAGTTGTCTCTGGTTGTCCTTAGTTGTCTCTAGTTGTCTCTGGTTGTCTTTAGTTGTCTCTGGTTGTCTTTAGTTGTCTCCAATTGTCTCTGGTTGTCTTCAGTTGTCTCTGGTTGTCTTCAGTTGTCTCTGGTTGTCTTCAGTTGTCTCTGGTTGTCGTTAGTTGTCTCTGGTTGTCTTCAGTTGTCTCTGGTTGTCTTTAGTTGTCTCTGGTTGTCTTTAGTTGTCTCCAATTGTCTCTGGTTGTCTTCAGTTGTCTCTGGTTGTCTTTAGTTGTCTCTGGTTGTCTTTAGTTGTCTCCATTTGTCTCTGGTTGTCTTTAGTTGTCTCTGGTTGTCTTTAGTTGTCTCTGGTTGTCTTTAGTTGTCTCTGGTTGTCTTCAGTTTTCTCTGGTTGTCTTTAGTTGTCTCTAGTTGTCTCTGGTTGTCTTTAGTTGTCTCCAATTGTCTCTGGTTGTCTTCAGTTGTCTCTGGTTGTCTTTAGTTGTCTCTGGTTGTCTTCAGTTGTCTCTGGTTGTCTTTAGTTGTCTCTGGTTGTCTTCAGTTGTCTCTGGTTGTCTTTAGTTGTCTCCAATTGTCTCTGGTTGTCTTCAGTTGTCTCTGGTTGTCTTTAGTTGTCTCTGTTTGTCTTCAGTTGTCTCTGGTTGTCTTCAGTTGTCTCTTGTTGTCTTTAGTTGTCTCTGGTTGTCTTCAGTTGTCTCTGGTTGTCTTTAGTTGTCTCTGGTTGTCTTTAGTTGTCTCCATTTGTCTCTGGTTGTCTTTAGTTGTCTCTGGTTGTCTTTAGTTGTCTCTGGTTGTCTTTAGTTGTCTCTGGTTGTCTTCAGTTTTCTCTGGTTGTCTTTAGTTGTCTCTAGTTGTCTCTGGTTGTCTTTAGTTGTCTCCAATTGTCTCTGGTTGTCTTCAGTTGTCTCTGGTTGTCTTTAGTTGTCTCTGGTTGTCTTCAGTTGTCTCTGGTTGTCTTTAGTTGTCTCTGGTTGTCTTCAGTTGTCTCTGGTTGTCTTTAGTTGTCTCTGGTTGTCTTTAGTTGTCTCCAATTGTCTCTGGTTGTCTTCAGTTGTCTCTGGTTGTCTTTAGTTGTCTCTGTTTGTCTTCAGTTGTCTCTGGTTGTCTTCAGTTGTCTCTTGTTGTCTTTAGTTGTCTCTGGTTGTCTTCAGTTGTCTCTGGTTGTCTTTAGTTGTCTCTGGTTGTCTTTAGTTGTCTCTGGTTGTCTTTAGTTGTCTCTGGTTGTCTCTGGTTGTCTTCAGTTTTCTCTGGTTGTCTTTAGTTGTCTCTAGTTGTCTCTGGTTGTCTTTAGTTGTCTCTGGTTGTCTTTAGCTGTCTCCAATTGTCTCTGGTTGTCTTTAGTTGTCTCTGGTTGTCATCAGTTGTCTCTGGTTGTCTTCAGTTGTCTCTGGTTGTCTTTAGTTGTCTCTGGTTGTCTTCAGTTGTCTCTGGTTGTCTTTAGTTGTCTCTGGTTGTCTTTAGTTGTCTCCAATTGTCTCTGGTTGTCTTCAGTTTTCTCTGGTTGTCTTTAGTTGTCTCTGCTTGTCTCTGGTGAATGTACAGGCTGTTTCTTGACCTGGTTGTCTTTCTTCTGTTTCCTGTCCAGTCAGTGACGCTCCGTGGCCCAACATCAGCCTGACTGAAGCCGACTGGAGGACCTGCAGTCCAGAACCGGTACCGTTTGTTCTTCTGACCCAGACTGTTCGCTCTGTCTGACAGGAAACCGGATCCCACAAGCTGTTCCAGTTCCCTAAGCATTTGGAGAGCACTGTGCTTCTAAGCCCCGCCCCCGTGGCGATGTCATGGCTTTGTGAGCTTCTGATAGGCTGATTCTCACTCTGTTTTTGTCTCCTGGTTTTGTCCCTCCATCCCTATTGTAACGCATGATGGTGGTGGCAGCATCATGCCGTGGGGCTGTGTTGCTAGACAGTCGGGTCCAAACGGGTTTTCTGGTTTGGACCCGACTGGAAGGTTCTGTGAGGAAGGACCAGTTCCAGTGGTTCTGTGAGTAAGAATGGACTTGATCCTGGTGCTAAAGGTTAAAGGTCAACTTTAATGAAATGGTTGAAAGGTTTTTATGATGCAGAACTTTTCTGGATCCAGAACCAGCTTGGTAAACTGGACCTGAACCAGGTGGTTCAGTCCGGTTTCATGTCAGATGGGGAGTATGTAAACATCTGGTGCCAGCTGGTTGATGCATGTAGTGGTTGCTATGGAGACGCAGTGAGTCAGGTTCTGGTCCTCCCAGCAGCTGCGACCCTCCGGCTACGGGACGTACCCCAGCACCGCCCACCAGGCCCAGCAGGCCCAGCAGGCCCACCACTGCAGCTCCCTGCCGCGCTCGGCGCCTGGTACGCTGGGCTGGCCCCGCCCCCCCGCTGGCTCCTCCTCCTCGTCTTCATCGCCACAGCGTGTCCCCAACCAGAACCCAGGTACCGCCCAGAGACTCAGACGGGAAATACTGATGTAATAATTATGATTGGGCTGGTACCAGAGAGTCCAATCCCTGGTACCCCATCAGAACCAGAGTTCTGCAATAGAACCCTAAGAATCTCCTTCTTCAGTCAGATGCTTTCTTTGTAACCGCTGCAACACAGACCGCTACAGGAGAAACTTCTTCACATATTTATTTTTCTCATATTTCTCATGTTCATTTCCATTGTAATTTCATATTCTCTGAAATCCATAGAAAACAATGAAAACATGACAATATTTAATAGAAAACAGTCTAGCGTTGACATGTTTAGCTAACAGCTAGCGTCTAGCTAACAGCTGGGTCCTCGCTAACCACGAGGGTTCTTTTAACAGCTGTACTTTCACTGACAGTTAGCATTTGGCTAACAGACAGTGCTTGGATAACAGCTGGAGTTTAGCTAACAGCTAGCTAGTCGTCAGGTATTGGCAGCTGGTTCTGGTTCTGTGTCCAGGTTCTGCATCGTCCTCCCCGCTGTCCCTCCAGTCGGAGCGGACCGACCCCCCTCCTGCGGTGGCGGTGCGTCCCTACGTCCCGGAGCCGCCGTCCAGGCCGCAGTCCCCTAGGAAGGGCCCCGCCACCATGAACAGCAGCTCCATCTACAGCATGTACCTGCACCAGCCTCAGGCCAAGAACCCGGGCCCTCTTGGGAACCGGGCCGCCGTCAGGGCAGGTCGGAACCGCCTCAGAACCGCCGCGGGTCTGACCGGGCCGACCACCCGTCCCACCGTCTGCTCTGTCTCCACAGTCTACGGGAAGCCCGTGGTCCCGTCCTCGGCCCCCGTCCCGCAGGATGAAGCCAGAGACGGCGCGGTCCTTCCTCCGCCCGGCGTGGACGGCTTCCCTCGTCCCCTCAGCCCCACCAAGCTGATGCCCGTCGGTGGGTTCCCCGCTCCATCTGCTCCTCTCACACAGGACCTAACTTAGGTTGCCATGGTGATAGGCCCGGTCAGACTGACTGGCGGTTCTGGTGGTTAACTGGACCTTCATCAGGAAACCACAGCTCATCCTGGTCTGCTGTCTCCTCAGCCCACTCGCAGCTGCGGTACCAGAACGACGCCGACCTTGAGGTTCTGCGGCGCCGTCTCAGCAACGCTCCACGGCCCCTGAAGAAGAGAAGCTCCATCACCGAACCCGAGGGCCCCCAGGGGCCCAACATCCAGAAGCTGCTGTACCAGCGGTGAGTCCAGCGTCTCGGTGGAAACCACCATCCAGCTAATGTGCAAATAGAGGAGCTAATTCTTGGCTAATTTACTCGGCTGTTTTGACATCTGTGATGAAGTTAGGGTCTGAATTCTTCACAGTATATTTAGCTTCTACTAAATAACATGTTTTTATAATGCTGAAGCATTATCTAATGTAACAAATCAATCCTCCAGCTGCAGCTGATCCAGAAGCTGCTGCTCCTGTTCTCACTAGAACCAGGAAGATAGAGACATAACAGCAGTTTTAAAGTCCCTCCACTGGCTCCCTGTAGCTCAAAGAATAGACTTTAAAATACTGTTGTTAGTTTATAAATCACTGAACGGTTTAGCACCACAATACATTAAAGATCTGCTGTTGTTGTATCAACCTTCCAGACTCTCAGGTTCTGGTTCTGGTTCTGCTCTGCATCCCCAGAACCAGAACCAAGAGAGGAGAAGCAGCTTTCAGCATCTATGCACCAAACATCTGGAACAAACTTCCAGAAAACTGTAAAACAGCAGAAACCCTGACTTCCTTTAAATCTCAACTAAACACACACCTGTTTAGATTTTTATTAGAAATGTAATATGTAACAATGTATTGTCTATTATATGATGCATGACTTTGTGTTCATGATGTAAAGCACTTTGAAATGCCTTGCTGCTGAAATGTGCTATACAAATAACATTTGATTTGATTGATAGCATTAGCAGAGCTAGCATTAGCAGAGCTAGCATTAGCAGAGCTAGCATTAGCATCTACAGCATGCGTTGGCCACTGCTGCAGATTGGGGCTGATGAAGGTGTTTTATGGTGCAGGTTCAACACGCTGGCTGGAGGCATGGAGGGCGGTTCTGGTAGGACTCGGTTGAGGTTCTGTTGAGGTTCTGGACTCGGTCGTTCCAGGGGCTCAGAATTGTTCTCCTCTGTTCCAGGGAACCCTTTCTACCAGCCGGACGGGCTTCTTGGGGATGGGGACGGCGTCCGTTCAGCCAACGGGAGCCTGGACCAGGGAGACAAGGCAGTACCCAGAGAGGTCAAAGGTCAGGACCTGAGCTCAGAGTCCTGCCACTCCTCTCCACCCTCCGTTACTACGGAAACACCAATAGAAACAGAAAGCACCACCAACCCGCCTCCCTCAACACAACCCGGCTCTCCTCCAGAACCAGAGAGGTCCGAGGTCCAGAACCAGAACCAGGGAGGTACTGGCTCTGCTTACGGGTCACTTCCAGCACCTGCTGCTCTCCCTTCAGGTGCAAAGGTACATATTGACCCAGACTCCCTCAGGCGCTGCCACCTTGTCACCATGGTCACCAGGTTGCTTGTGTCTCCAGGTGAAGCGGACCAACCTGAAGAAGCCGTCCTCAGAGCGAACAGGTCATGGCCTGAGGGTCAAGTTCAACCCCCTGGCTCTGCTGCTGGACGCCTCATTGGAGGGAGAGTTCGACCTGGTCCAGAGGGTCATCTACGAGGTACCGCCTGGTTCCACCCAGAGGTTCCTCTGGTTCCTTTGGTTCCAGTCCAAACAATTTGCAGGGACTCAAAGGTTTCTTGTTTTTGGAGCCACAGATGTTTCTGGTTTTCTTGCAGGCTGACCTGACCTCTGACCCTAGACTCTGGCTCTTGCAGGTGGAGAATCCCAGCATGCCCAACGACGAAGGCATCACTCCTCTTCACAACGCCGTGTGCGCCGGTCATCACCACATCGTCAAGTTCTTGTTGGACTTTGGAGTGAACGTGAACGCGGCCGACAGCGACGGCTGGTCAGTTCCTCCTCTGTCCTCTGGACCGCCATCTTGGGGTCATCATATTGTCTCTAGGGGCTGTCAGGGGTCATCAGGGGTCATCTAATAGTCTCTTCCTGTCTGTCGCGCAGGACTCCGCTGCACTGCGCCGCTTCCTGCAACAGCGTCCATCTCTGTAAGATGCTGGTGGAGTCAGGCGCCGCCATCTTCGCCACCACCATCAGCGACGTGGAGACGGCGGCCGACAAGTGTGAGGAGATGGAGGAGGGCTTCAGCCAGTGCTCCCAGTTCCTCTACGGTGGGTGGAGCTGGAGACGTCCAGGTACCGGCGCCGTGTCCGGACTCACCTGTCCGTCCGCTTCGTCCTCCGCAGGCGTCCAGGAGAAGCTGGGCGTCATGAACAAGGGGGCGGCGTACACGCTGTGGGACTATGCCGCGCAGCGGGACGACGAGCTGTCCTTCGGCGAGGGCGACGCCGTCACCGTGCTGCGTCGCCATGACGATACCGAGACGGACTGGTGGTGGGCCAGGCTGGACGACCGCGAGGGATACGTGGCGAGGAACCTGTTGGGGGTGAGACAGCCTTCCTCACCAGGCTGATCCTGGCTTCCTCAGGATCAGCCTGTAATGACCTGTTGACCTCTCTGCAGCTGTACCCACGGATCAAACCCAGACAGAGGTCACTGGCCTGAAGTCCGGCCCCATGAGGAAGAGGAGGAGTGTAGGGCTGGTTCTGAGAGGAAGCAGCAAAGCACATGTTGACCTTCAGCAGCCCACTAACGGCTCTTCCTCTCTTGACCTCTGAGGTCAAGATGAAGGGCAGAGGAAGATGACCCAGGGTGTGTCAGGTTGGAAGGTCACCTGAAGAATCAGAGGAAGGAAACAGGAAGTGAAGATGACGGTTTAATGAAGCGGTCTGCATCTGTTCATAAGAGGTTCTGGGTCACATTCAGTCAGAACGTCGGATCTGAGTCGTTCTGGGCTTCTGAACCTTCTCTGCTGCTTGTTGCCATGTTTTATTTTCCTTCATGTTGCTTCATTTAGCCAACCTTTGCTTTTCTCATTACAATCAGTTCTGTTACTGTGGAGACTCTGCTGCCATCCAGTGGACAGATTTATGTATGGGCTGGATCAGCAGCTCCACCTGCTGGACTGGATGTGCCTGAATTTTATGTTCACATTAATATTTTTATTTTACAAGCATTTTGTTTCCAGATGCTGCTTTATGACCGGTTGAGATGCATTATTAAAGTCAAATAAAACATTAAGAATTGTGTTTAAAACTCACCGATTCTCAGACTTTCAAGCTTTCCTTCAGTGTTTCAGAAACATCCAGTATTTATGTCAACACAGACACTACGGTCAGAAAACTGCTCAGAACATTACTGGACAGATTTCTCTTTATTGCTTTAAATATGAAACAAATTAACATTTCTGTTCATCTGGTTCTGATTAAACTTCCTATGAAATATTTTGCATTTTGAGGCAAAACTTCCATTCAAACACACACACTCCACACACACACTCCACACACACACACTCCACACACACTCCACACACACACTCCACACACACTCCACACACACACACACTCCACACACACTCCACACACACACACTCCACACACACTCCACACACACACACTCCACACACACACACTCCACACACACTCCACACACACACACTCCACACACACTCCACACACACACACTCCACACACACTCCACACACACACTCCACACACACACTCCACACACACTCCACACACACACACTCCACACACACACACTCCTCACACACACACACTCCACACACACACACACTCCACACACACACTCCACACACACACACTCCACACACACACACACTCCACACACACTCCACACACACACTCCACACACACACACTCCTCACACACACACACTCCACACACACACACACTCCACACACACACACTCCACACACACACACTCCACACACACACACACTCCACACACTACACACACACACTCCACACACACACACTCCACACACACACACTCCACACACACTCCACACACACACACTCACACACACACACACTCCACACACACACTCACTCCACACACACACACTCCACACACACACACTCCACACACACACACTCCACACACACACACTCCACACACACTCACTCCACACACACACACTCCACACACACTCCACACACACACACTCCACACACACACACTCCACACACACACTCACTCCACACACACACACTCCACACACACACACTCCACACACACACACACTCCACACACACACTCACTCCACACACACACACTCCACACACACACTCACTCCACACACACACTACACACACACTCCACACACACACTCACTCCACACACACACTACACACACACTCCACACACACACACTCCACACACACACACACTCCACATATTTGTCTCTGCATGAAACACGCCTTAATGTGAGATGCGCGCGCACGACAGGAAGTACATGTAATAAACTGCGGACTTTAGATGGTCATAAAAGTTCAGCTTTTCGCTCTGGACTCACCTGTCAGCTGCGCCTCCGCAGGTAAGTTTGGATCATTTAAAACTCTCATTACTACAGGAATCATTTCTGTAGAACTGTTTGTTCTGGTTCTGAAAGCTAAAATATTCGCTTTTATTTGTTTGAAGCCTTTAAATCCCGAGCACATGAAACCTTCAAAATAAAAGCATTGCGAATCTAGGATTTCAACGTAAACTTCTGTCTAGAGTTTTACTTCTTCATTATTGGTGGTAATTGTGGTTATCAGGGAATGATGTTTATCATTAGTTGACAGACAGCGGATAAATATAGTTTTAAGTAAAATAATATTTGAATGAAGACATTTTCTTTAATTTGGAAGTCCAACGGAAGTGCTATATTAATTAGGCTACATGTTACGTGTTTAGCATGCAGCTGGTTCTATATTCAGCTTTTTTTGTCATGTTTCCTCCTGTTAACAGCTTTATTTTCTAAATCATCCTATTACTTATTGAACGTCCTCCGCTCTTCTCCAAACGTGAGTTCATATTAATTGTATTTAATCACCTGTTTCATAACAGGAAGCTATTTGCTAGCTGTGTATAAATCGTGCATATGAAGGAATATTTTATAGTATTGATGAACATGTTTAATGTGCTAACTTACTGTTTATTTGGTCAGTTTTAGATAGAGTTGTTTTGACCAAGTATGGATGCCCCTCCCAACATGGCGAACACGTTAACTAGTTCGCCATCTTGGAAAGGGAGATATCACACCTTACGGCGCCACCATTTCCGTGCTGCGTTCAAAATAAAAGCGCACTTCCGCTTCATGTTTTCTCTACTTCAAGGAGATTTCCAGCAACTTCATATTTAGACTTGTTCTATTTGTGCAGTTGGGGAAATGATGTATCTAAAAAACTTGGAGACATTAAGGAATGCTGAAAAACTCTTTGAAATGAGGAAATCAGGATCCTCTGTATGTGGGAATAATGCAGTGTGGGAATGTGCTCTGTCTCACAGGGCCTGTTGACCGGTGAACCTTTCTAGTTCTGTGGTGACCCCTAGAGGGGTCAGGGTCACACTCAGGGGTCTGGCGGAGGCTGTAGGCCCCAAATCTTCCTTCGAAATCTAAACGTTGTTTTCGTCTCAGACTCATTTTGGGCGGAATGCCGGAGCATTTCCACGTGAACACGCCGCTGCTGGAGAGCGTCAGCATGTCCAAGATGGCGGGCACCGCCGTCTACCTGAAGATGGAGAACTGCCAGCCATCCGGCTCCTTTAAGATCCGCGGCGTAGGACATCTCTGCCAGCAGGTGGGGGCGCCGTCACTCCGCCTGGACCAACTCTGCCTGTCTGCTGCTGACGCTCCGTGTGTTGTTGCAGCTCGCCAGCCGCTCCAAGGGAGTCGTGTGTTCTTCAGGTAACCTCTGACCCGTGACGGCGCCTCGTCCTGCTAACGGGCGTCGTGGTAAAGGGTATCTCTACAGGTGGGAACGCCGGGATGGCCGCTGCCTATGTGGCCCGAAAAATGGGGCTCCCGGCGACCGTGGTGGTGCCGTCCTCCACCCCCCCGCTGATGGTCCGCAGGCTGCAGGAGCAGGGCGCCACCGTCAAGGTCGCCGGGAAGGTCAGAGCCGACCTGCATCAGGAGGCGCCTGACCTGCCGGTCCCCTGACCTCTGAAACCTGGATGTTTGTTGTCTCTAACCGTCAGGTTTGGGACGACGCCAACGCCGAAGCTCTGAGGATGGCGGAGGCGGAGCAGCTGACCTTCGTTCCTCCATTTGATCACCCCCTGCTGTGGTAGGTACCCCCCTGGCCCCTGACCTCTGACCCCTGCTCAGACCCAGCATGTCCCCTGTCTCTCCAGGGAGGGCCACGCCTCGGTGGTGGTGGAGGCGGCGGCCGCCCTGGGCCCCGGGGTCCGGCCCGGCGCTGTGCTGCTGTCGGTGGGGGGCGGGGGCCTGCTGTGCGGCGTCGTCCGCGGCTTGAAGGACGCCGGCTGGGCGGACGTGCCTGTCATCGCTATGGAAACGGTGGGGGCCGACTGCTTCAACGCCGCCATCAAGGCGGGGGAGCTGGTGACTCTGGATGACATCACCAGGTTGGTCCAGCTCTGAGCCCATTGGCTGCTTTTGATTGGCCGATCATGCAGGCCTGGTTGTCGTGGTCGCCTCAGTTGCTATGACAACATACAGATGAGCTTAGATCCTGCAGAACCAGCAGAACCAGTAGATCCTGCAGAACCAGTAGATCCTGCAGAACCAGTAGATCCTGCAGAACCAGCAGAACCAGTAGATCCTGCAGAACCAGTAGATCCTGCAGAACCAGTAGATCCTGCAGAACCAGTAGATCCTGCAGAACCAGCAGAACCAGTAGATCCTGCAGAACCAGTAGATCCTGCAGAACCAGCAGAACCAGTAGATCCTGCAGAACCAGTAGATCCTGCAGAACCAGTAGATCCTGCAGATCCAGCAGAACCAGCAGATCCTGCAGAACCAGTAGATCCTGCAGAACCAGTAGATCCTGCAGAACCAGTAGATCCTGCAGAACCAGTAGATCCTGCAGAACCAGTAGATCCTGCAGAACCAGCAGATCCTGCAGATCCAGCAGAACCAGCAGATCCTGCAGATCCTGCAGAACCAGCAGAACCAGCAGATCCTGCAGAACCAGTAGAACCAGCAGATCCTGCAGAACCAGTAGATCCTGCAGAACCAGCAGATCCTGCAGAACCAGCAGATCCTGCAGAACCAGCAGATCCTGCAGAACCAGTAGATCCTGCAGAACCAGTAGATCCTGCAGAACCAGCAGAACCAGTAGATCCTGCAGAACCAGTAGATCCTGCAGAACCAGCAGAACCAGTAGATCCTGCAGAACCAGTAGATCCTGCAGAACCAGTAGATCCTGCAGAACCAGCAGAACCAGCAGATCCTGCAGAACCAGCAGATCCTGCAGAACCAGCAGATCCTGCAGAACCAGTAGATCCTGCAGAACCAGCAGATCCTGCAGAACCAGCAGATCCAGCAGAACCAGCAGATCCTGCAGATCCAGCAGAACCAGCAGATCCTGCAGATCCAGCAGAACCAGCAGATCCTGCAGATCCTGCAGAACCAGCAGAACCAGCAGATCCTGCAGAACCAGTAGATCCTGCAGAACCAGCAGAACCAGTAGATCCTGCAGAACCAGTAGATCCTGCAGAACCAGTAGATCCTGCAGAACCAGCAGATCCTGCAGATCCAGCAGAACCAGCAGATCCTGCAGAACCAGTAGATCCTGCAGAACCAGTAGATCCTGCAGAACCAGCAGATCCTGCAGAACCAGTAGATCCTGCAGAACCAGCAGATCCTGCAGATCCAGCAGAACCAGCAGATCCTGCAGATCCAGCAGAACCAGCAGATCCTGCAGATCCTGCAGAACCAGCAGAACCAGCAGATCCTGCAGAACCAGTAGAACCAGCAGATCCTGCAGAACCAGCAGATCCTGCAGAACCAGCAGATCCTGCAGAACCAGCAGAACCAGTAGATCCTGCAGAACCAGTAGATCCTGCAGAACCAGCAGATCCTGCAGAACCAGTAGATCCTGCAGAACCAGCAGATCCTGCAGAACCAGCAGATCCTGCAGAACCAGCAGATCCTGCAGAACCAGTAGATCCTGCAGAACCAGCAGATCCTGCAGAACCAGCAGATCCTGCAGAACCAGCAGATCCTGCAGAACCAGCAGATCCTGCAGATCCTGCAGAACCAGCAGATCCTGCAGAACCAGTAGATCCAGCAGAACCAGCAGATCCTGCAGAACCAGTAGATCCTGCAGAACCAGCAGATCCTGCTGTCTGAATAATTATTTCTTGCTTTAGTAAAAGAAAAATGAAGAAGGAAACAGAAGTGTGACTTTAAGAAACACGTCTCCTTCCTGTCTCTGCCTCTGTCCCCAGCGAAGCCAAGTGTCTGGGTGCGAAGACGGTCTGCCGCAGAGCCTTTGAGCTGAGCCAGAGCGGCGAGGCGACCATCATCTCTGAGTTGGTGACGGACCAGGAGGCGCTGAGGGCCGTCCAGATGTTCCTGGGTCAGTGGCTTCCCGCCGCACACATCTGGCTCCGGTTCCGGTTCTGAAGGACGTGTGCTGTGTTCCAGATGAGGAGCGGGTTCTGGTGGAGATGGCGTGCGGAGCAGCGCTGGCCGCCGTCTACAGCGGCCTGATCCCCAGACTGCAGGCCCAAGGCAGGCGGCCGCCGAGCTCATTGTTTTTTCTTTTGCTTTTTATGGTCTTTTTAGCTTCTGTTTTTGTTCTTTTTGATTTTATTTCTATATTTTAGTTTTTAATATATTTATTTTAAATTTTTGTTCATGTATTTATTTTTTTCTATGTATTTTTCTTCATTTTGTGTATGTCTTCAAAAAATGTGTTTTATAATTTATTTTAATAAATTTTATTTTTTATTTCATCTCTTATATATCTATCTGTTTTTAAGTAGTTCATGTGTTTTATTTTAGTTTTCATTAGATGTGTTTTTGTTATTTATGTTTACGTTTTAATTTAGACTTTTTATAAATTTGTGTTCATATTTTTTATTTTTACTTGTTTCATTTTTGTTACTGTTGAGATTTAATTATTACTCATTTATCAAAGAAAACAACACGTAGAGTATATTTGTATTTGCGCATGTCATGACTCAGAAACATTTGGGTATAAAGAAGCTGAGGACCGAACCGGAGCAGAACCTTCATCACGTCTTCAGAACCTGGCCTGTGACCAAATTCTGGTTTGTTTTCCAGGCCGTCTCCCGACTCCCTTGCGCCCCCTGCTGGTGATCGTGTGCGGCGGCAGCAGCATCAACATGGAGCAGCTGATCAGCCTCCAGCAGAAGTTGCAGAGCTAACGCAGTGCATTCTGGGAAATGTGTCACCAGTCTCATTGCTGATCTTAAAGTTGTAATTATTGCTGATTTTCATGAGTGAAGAATCTCCGCCTGCAGTTCACCTTCTTCCCACAGGGTGGTGCTGTAAAGTCTGGTCGGTTGCTATGACAACAGGAAGGCGACGCTCTGACGAGGCCGTCAGCGGCTATAAATAGGAAGTCAGCAGGAGAAGCTGTGGCTGAAATGTTCTGGAACTTCAGAACCAGAATGTTGAGTCCATGTTGTCCCGCGGGACCAGTCTAGAACGGATCCAGTTCGGCTAAAGGAAATCCGCTTCATCCTTTTCGTGTTTATCTATCAGTTTATTAAAAGACAAAGAAAAGCTCAACGCTTTTGGCTCACAGAGATTTATTTTCTACACTCACTTCATCAGTTAGAAAGCTAAAGATTTTGTTTTAAACCTAGAAATGTAGCTTTAAGCTAAAACGTTAGCTCTGAGCTACATATAGCTGTTCAGTCAGTACACTAAATATTTAGCTTGCTAACTAAATATGTAGGTTGAAACTGTGACACAAATGAGGAGTAACAGAACACATATGTCTGGAATAAAGGATAATAATGCAGCTAATGGCATCCCATAGCAACATGTCACATGGAGCTGCAGCTAAGCAGCCTTTAGCTGACATGCTATCATTCTACAGTCAGTTCTCTAGCGCCCCCTGTGGCTGGAGCCAGCCAGAACATCATGGCGATTGATGGTAAGTAGGCCAATAACGGCTCTGCTCTCCGCGGTAATTAACTCCGTCTGGGTTACCGGTTGTGGTTCTGGTCCGGGCGGGCTGTGTTTCCCATCGGGGAGGCAGAACCTGGGTTCGGTTCGGACGGCTGTCCGCAGTTATTGTCCGTGTTTGTGGCGGTGGTTCTGAAGGAAAGCTCCTTCTTGTTTCCACGCGCCTTTCCTGCTTATTACCCGCTAAAGCGGCGGTTCTGCGGCTCGGTTCGGAGCCCCGAACCTCCGAGTGGTGTTGAGGAGTCGCTGCCGTCGCTTTTCCCTCCGCGCTGACTGGCAGGCTGCGACCTACACGGTTCTGGTTCTGATCAGTCCGGTTCTGGGGGAATTTGGGTATTATTCAGTTTCATGTGGAGGGGGCTCTCGGTTCCGGTCCGATCCAATAGAACCTCCAGAGAAGCTTTATGATGCCTCTCAAATAGTCCAACATTTAATCTGGGTTCATGTATTTAGTGTAGAGCAAACTGGGTCCAGTAGAGAAAACTAGATATAAACTGGGAATCAGAAATGATTTCTGATTTTAAGGAGAAGTGATGTCATAACCAGTTTTCACAGCTCCTTAACATTTGGGACAATTTATGATTTTAGGGTTTTCAGATGCTGCTTTCATTTATATTTATGTGACAAAACAGAACAGTTATTTTACTGATGAAATCTGAAAAGTGTGGCATGCATTTTTATCCAGTCTGTCATTCTGGTGCCATTAAATAAAATCCCTCAGTCAGAACCAGTGATGTTAAATTCAGACTGAAAAGGTTCAATAAGACACTGGAAGGTGGAAAAAACCTCTGTCCTCTTCCTCCAGTCCAGAGAAGCTGTGAAAAGATTCAACAGGAAACCAGAGTGTTTTCATGGTTTCCATGGTTACTTGATAGAGGCTCTACTTCCTGGTTACTTCCTGTTTTGAACCTCTCCTCTCTCAAAGTTGCCTGTTGGTGGATGTAGAGTGGAGATGGTGGGCAGGTGAGGCCACCCCCCACCTGCCTTAGCAGAGGAAACTGAACTGCTGCATAAACAGACTTCTCTCCCTTCAAAATAAAAGCATGAATTACTAACAGTTAACCAAAACTCATCACAGAAATTGAACTTTATTGAACTGAAAGTTTAGAACGCAGCTGAGTAAATTAGGCTTTAACATTTACCTGGAAGAATGATTTAGAGGAAGCTAAGTGCGCTAAACGACAAATTAGCTCCGCTATGAGCTGAGGCGTGACGAATGGAGGACAGACTGCGGGACATGAGGTCGGTCAGTCTGAAACCACAGGTCACATCTTCGGTGTGAAGGTCAGCAGGCAGTGGCGTATCTAGTCCAGTTTTAGGGGCGTCCCTAAAACTGTATCTTAGCACCCCTGAATAGACTTGCCACCCATCCTGTAAAATACGGAGTCGTCCCATGTTTGGTCCCGTGTTCGGTCCCGTAGTGAACCGATGCATAACTGTCCGATAGACACGCCTATAATAATAAGCATCAACACCAAGTTAACAATAATGGCCAAAATAAAACACAGGCAATATTAAGGTCAGCTACACTGTTCTGGCGGGAGCTAAAGGACCCTAAACTCTACGGACCAACGCTGAACGTCACGGTTGCCTAGAGACGGACATTGCGCAGCCGCTGTGAGCTGCTGTCAACCCGCGTCTTTTTAAATCCTCCTCTACCTGATTCCATGTCCGTGGAAGAAAAAACGCTTTAAAAACACAGCCGTGAGAGAAAAAACGCGCATTATAAGCTGATCAATTTCAGTGAGGATGGATACTGTGAACATAGAACATGGTGCTGCTGTGTAACAGACTGAATGGATCAGGAGGAACCGCAGACCCGTCCGAACCTCCAGAACCAGAAATCTCTTCATCCTCAACCATCTCCTGAAACTGATGTGGTCCAGAACATTTTGATATGATGGATTCAGTTTCTTATTGTGATTTTAGCTTGATTATTATTGCTTAGGATGTTGAGCTTGGAAATAATAGCATTAGCCAAAATAAGTGGCCAGTTAAAGAACAAATCATACTAATAGATTAACACTAAATACATCAATATTTTCTACATTACATTACTTTGTGTGTTTTATTCACAAATGTTGATATATTTTATGAATATTCAATGGTCATTTAATGTATTCATTAATATTTTATTTATGTCTTTTTAAAATATTTAGTGGTTGATATTTTTTAAAACCTTCACAATTTTATTTTAACAATGAATTAAAAATGATAGTGCTGCACTTTTAGCTGCTGGATCACACTTTCCATCTGCTCAATCAGGAGCTGCAACCTGGATCTCTGGAGACACAAGTGGCTCTTTGGTTCATGTATTAAATGATGAAATATTGCTGTTTAATTCTTTTTTTAGTGTCTCCATAAAAAACACTGACTACACGGGTCAAGAACCAGCCTATAACGAAAACAGTAAAGACCATTTTATTTATATATATATATATATATATATATATATATATATATATATATATATATATATATATATATATATATAACCATTTAATATATATATACGGGGCCAGACTTGTGTCATCAGCACTTCAATTCAAATGGCAATGTGCAATGGAAGATATTATGCCTTGCCATATTTTTGCAGTGTAATTTTTGCCACTTAAAATGGCATTGCATTTTAAGTAGCAATGCAGTACTTAATTTAGAATAATTTTTATATTTATGAATGAAAAAATGTGTACAGTATTTATTTGAAGATTATTTTGTAGTTCAGTACAAAATTGTGTATATAGGCAAAAATTGGATAAATAATGGGTTATTGTGATCCTGGTTCATATATATCTTTTTTGAAGTTTGATAGGTGACTGTTGTGCTGTTTTGTAATTATTTATCCAAATCTCTCTGGAGTCACTTAAATAAGGTCAAACTAAAGAACAGTGCAGAGTGTTGGGCTGTTTCTGTGAACAGAAAGATGTTTGGTACTGAAACTTTGATTGACCCACTTCATGAACTGTGAACTGAAATAGTAAAGCCCAGACTCATAATGTTTACTTTTCCATAGACATAAACATAAACATTCTTATTTAAAGAAAAAGGCTAATGGCTACATAACGTTCAGATAAAAATGAGGGTAATGCAATTTCTAAGTATGATTTTCAAATAAAGTTGAGGCTATTCAGGAGTCATTTACCTGAACTTCTACCTTGATAATAAACTGGTTGTAGTAAAATGTTCTTCAAATGACTGGAAATTCATAGTTTTGAGTAAAATTTATTTTATTTTCCAGGGGAACTGACCGCACTAGGACTGTCACTCCACACCTGCATGTATCTCGTTAATGTTAGCAGATGTTGGCAGGTATGATGTAGTCTTGAGATTTTGTTTCAAACTGAGTACCTCTGGAAAAAAAATGAAGGTTCTCTGATTTTACTCCTTATAAGTTTATGTTTGAGAAAAAATAACATTGCTCTTTTATTCTATGAGTTACTAACATGTCTCTTAATTTTGCTTGTCAATGTATGTAAATAAGCAGTTAGATTTAGAAATCGTACAAACAAATATCTTCTCATGGGTTTTAGCCTTGCTGGGGGCTCAGCACCCCTAAAGCTCAAATCCTTGAATCGCCCCTGTCAGCGGGCTTTGAAAGAGGCTGTGAAGCAGGAAGTGACATCACTGTTCAGTGATGACACTAATCAGCTGATTGATCACATGACCACCTTTTTGATTGATCAGCCACCTTTAATCCTTTACTACTCTGTTAGTTTTCAGAGTCGCTGACGGGTTGCTGTAAAACGTGGGACGGATCCAGCCTGGCTGGTGGGTCGGCCCGCTGAGTCGCTCTGCTTGTTTGCTTTAGGTGCAGCAGCTTCAGTGTCTGAGGGAATATAACTGGTCTAGTCAAAGTAAAAGTGATTGATAGTCTGACCTGCAGAGAGCAGGAGAACCTGAGGAGGAAGAGGATGCTGAGCTTCCTCCTACACACAGCAGTTGCTTCTCCGTTTACAGGACCAGACCAGGGTTCTGGTCCACACCAGGGTTCTGGTTTTGGACCGGGACCAGGGTTCTGCTCCTGGTTTTGCGTCTCATCCTCCCTCCTTGTCTCTCCAGGTGGAGATCGTCACTGTGGAGTTCACGAGCTGATCTGCATCAGAAAAGGTAGAGGAGTCTCCTGTAGCCCATTACATGTCCTTTGCCTTTTGTCTTGTCTCGGTATGTCGTCAAGTTGCTCATCGGGCCGTCTCGTTGCTCGTTGGGCCGTCTCGTTGCTCATCGGGCCGTCTCGTTGCTCGTTGGGCCGTCTCGTTGTTCATTGGGCCGTTTCGTTGTTCGTTGGGCCGTCTGGTTGTTCGTTGGGCCATCTCGTTGTTCATTGGGCCGTCTCGTTGATCGTTGGGCCATCTCGTTGTTCGTTGGGCCGTCTCGTTGTTCATTGGGCCGTCTCGTTGCTCGTTGGGCCGTCTCGTTGTTCGTTGGGCCATCTCGTTGTTCGTTGGGCCGTCTCGTTGTTCGTTGGGCCATCTCGTTGTTCATTGGGCCGTCTCGTTGATCGTTGGGCCATCTCGTTGTTCGTTGGGCCGTCTGGTTGTTCGTTGGGCCGTCTCGTTTTTCATTGGGCCGTCTCGTTGATCGTTGGGCCATCTCGTTGTTCGTTGGGCCGTCTCGTTGTTCGTTGGGCCGTCTCGTTGTTCGTTGGGCCGTCTCGTTGTTCGTTGGGCCATCTCGTTGTTCGTTGGGCCGTCTCGTTGTTCGTTGGGCCATCTCGTTGTTCATTGGGCCGTCTCGTTGATCGTTGGGCCATCTCGTTGTTCGTTGGGCCGTCTGGTTGTTCGTTGGGCCGTCTCGTTTTTCATTGGGCCGTTTCGTTGTTCGTTGGGCTGTCTGGTTGTTCGTTGGGCCGTCTCGTTGTTCATTGGACCGTCTCGTTGATCGTTGGGCCATCTCGTTGTTCGTTGGGCCGTCTCGTTGTTCGTTGGGCCGTCTCGTTGATCGTTGGGCCATCTCGTTGTTCGTTGGGCCGTCTCGTTGTTCGTTGGGCCATCTCGTTGTTCATTGGGCCGTCTCGTTGATCGTTGGGCCATCTCGTTGTTCGTTGGGCCGTCTCGTTGTTCGTTGGGCCATCTCGTTGTTCATTGGGCCGTCTCGTTGATCGTTGGGCCATCTCGTTGTTCGTTGGGCCGTCTGGTTGTTCGTTGGGCCGTCTCGTTTTTCATTGGGCCGTTTCGTTGTTCGTTGGGCCGTCTGGTTGTTCGTTGGGCCGTCTCGTTGTTCATTGGACCGTTTCGTTGTTCGTTGGGCCGTCTCGTTGATCGTTGGGCCATCTCGTTGTTCGTTGGGCCGTCTCGTTGTTCGTTGGGCCATCTCGTTGTTCATTGGGCCGTCTCGTTGATCGTTGGGCCATCTCGTTGTTCGTTGGGCCGTCTCGTTGTTCGTTGGGCCATCTCGTTGTTCATTGGGCCGTCTCGTTGATCGTTGGGCCATCTCGTTGTTCGTTGGGCCGTCTGGTTGTTCGTTGCCGTCTCGTTTTTCATTGGGCCGTTTCGTTGTTCGTTGGGCCGTCTGGTTGTTCGTTGGGCCGTCTCGTTGTTCATTGGACCGTTTCGTTGTTCGTTGGGCCATCTCGTTGTTCGTTGGGCCGTCTCGTTGTTCATTGGGCCGTCTCGTTGTTCATTGGGCCGACTGGTTGTTCGTTGGGCCGTCTCGTTGTTCGTTGGGCCGTCTGGTTGTTCGTTGGGCCATCTCGTTGTTCGTTGGGCCGTCTCGTTGTTCGTTGGGCCGACTGGTTGTCCGTTGGGCCGTCTCGTTGTTCGTTGGGCCGTCTCGTTGTTCGTTGGGCCATCTCGTTGTTCGTTGGGCCGTCTGGTTGTTCGTTGGGCCGTCTCGTTGTTCGTTGGGCCATCTCGTTGTTCATTGGGCCGTCTCGTTGATCGTTTGGCCATCTCGTTGTTCGTTGGGCCGTCTGGTTGTTCGTTGGGCCGTCTCGTTTTTCGTTGGGCCGTTTCGTTGTTCGTTGGGCCGTCTGGTTGTTCGTTGGGCAGTCTCGTTGTTCGTTGGGCCATCTCGTTGTACGTTGGGCCATCTCGTTGTTCGTTGGGCCGTCTGGTTGTTCGTTGGGCCATCTCGTTGTTCATTGGGCCGTCTCGTTGTTCATTGGGCCGTCTCGTTGATCGTTGGGCCATCTCGTTGTTCGTTGGGCCATCTCGTTGTACGTTGGGCCATCTCGTTGTTGGTTGGGCCATCTCGTTGCTCGTTGGGCCATCTCGTTGTTCGTTGGGCCGTCTGGTTGTTCGTTGGGCCGTCTCGTTGTTCGTTGGGCCGTCTCGTTGTTCGTTGGGCCGTCTCGTTGTTCGTTGGGCCGTCTCGTTGTTCGTTGGGCCGTTTCGTTGTTCGTTGGACCGTTTCGTTGTTCGTTGGGCCGTCTCGTTGTTCGTTGGGCCGTCTGGTTGTTCGTTGGGCCGTCTGGTTGTTCGTTGGGCCGTCTGGTTGTTTGTTGGGCCGTTTCGTTGTTCATTGGACCGTTTCGTTGTTCGTTGGGCCGTTTTGTTGTTCATTGGACCGTTTCGTTGTTCGTTGGGCCGTCTCGTTGATCGTTGGGCCATCTCGTTGTTCGTTGGGCAGTTTCGTTGTTCGTTGGGCCATCTCGTTGTTCATTGGGCCGTCTCGTTGATCGTTGGGCCGTCTCTTTGTTCGTTGGTCCGTCTCGTTGATCGTTGGGCCGTCTCGTTGTTCGTTGGGCCGTCTCGTTGTTCGTTGGGCCGTCTCGTTGCTCGTTGGGCCATCTCGTTGTTCGTTGGGCCGTCTCGTTGTTCATTGGGCCGTCTCGTTGTTCATTGGGCCGTCTCGTTGTTCATTGGGCCGTCTCGTTGTTCATTGGGCCGTTTCGTTGTTCGTTAGGCCGTCTCGTTGTTCGTTGGGCCGTCTCGTTGTTCATTGGGCCGTCTCGTTCGTTGGGCCGTCTCGTTGTTCATTGGGCCGTTTCGTTGTTCGTTGGGCCGTCTGGTTGTTCGTTGGGCCGTTTCGTTGTTCGTTGGGCCGTTTCGTTGTTCATTGGACCGTTTCGTTGTTCGTTGGGCCGTCTGGTTGTTCGTTGGGCCATCTCGTTGTTCGTTGGGCCGTCTCTTTGTTCGTTGGTCCGTCTCGTTGTTCGTTGGGCCGTCTCGTTGTTCGTTGGGCCGTCTCGTTGTTCGTTGGGCCGTCTCGTTGCTCGTTGGGCCATCTCGTTGTTCGTTGGGCCGTCTCGTTGTTCATTGGGCCGTCTCGTTGTTCATTGGGCCGTCTCGTTGTTCATTGGGCCGTCTCGTTGTTCATTGGGCCGTTTCGTTGTTCGTTAGGCCGTCTCGTTGTTCGTTGGGCCGTCTCGTTGTTCATTGGGCCGTCTCGTTCATTGGGCCGTCTCGTTGTTCATTGGGCCGTTTCGTTGTTCGTTAGGCCGTCTGGTTGTTCGTTGGGCCGTCTCGTTGTTCATTGGGCCGTCTCGTTGTTCATTGGGCCGTCTCGTTGTTCGTTGGGCCGTCTCGTTGTTCATTGGGCCGTCTCGTTGTTCGTTGGGCCGTCTCGTTGTTCATTGGGCCGTCTCGTTGTTCATTGGGCCATCTCTTTGTGCGTTGGGCCGTCTGGTTGTTCGTTGGGCCATCTCGTTGTTCGTTGGGCCGTTTGGTTGTTCGTTGGGCCGACTGGTTGTTCGTTGGGCCATCTGGTTTTTCATTGGGCCGTCTGGTTGTTCGTTGGGCCGTTTGGTTGTTCGTTGGGCCGACTGGTTTTTCGTTGGGCCGTCTGGTTGTTCGTTGGGCCATCTCGTTCGTTGGGCCGTCTCGTTCATTGGGCCGTCTCGTTGTTCGTTGTGTCGTCTCGGTGCATCGTCTCGTCGGGCCGTCTGTACGGACGCTCACACTTCATGTCTAATTCAGTCAAAACTAAGAAATAAAGCACCTTCAGTCAGCCGGAGAACTGGTTCAGAGTTTAACTGTGTTCGATTTCAAGGTCTAGCGTCCTTCGAAGGATCGGTCAACGTAGACTGACCGGTAGACAGGTCCGTCCCAGGAACGAAGAGAGAAGCAGTGAATTCGGACACAAACATGCCCGACCGCCCGGCGGCCCGACTGCAGGGTTACTGGGGGAGACCTGGAACCTCAATGTTCGTTCCTCTTCGGTCTGATTCTGGTCCGGTCCGCTTTAGTTCAGAGTTGAATCAGCAAATTGCAGATTCGTTTGAACTGAATGTTCAGACCGGACGGGTTCTGTTAGACTCAGTGATTATAATGTGATTTTGAGTGGATTAATTAGACGGTCCGTCATGCCTTGGCCATTGCGTTCCTGAGGTTCTGTTTGTGTTGCGGTCCAGTTTCTCCGGAGGTTCTGGGCTTCCTGACGGCCATCGCGCTCTTCATCATCCTCATGACCTTCCTCTTCTGGTTCCTCAACAACAAGCTGGTTCTGCAGAACCCGGCCAGCCTGCAATGCCTCGACGATTTCAGGAAGAACCCGGAGCCGCAAGGTGAGTCCTGAAGCAGGGCTTCTTTCCACTCGATGTACCGCTGACCGAACAAGTTCTTTACTGAACCAGTTCTTTTTGAAGCAGTTCTTTACTGAAAGAGTTCCTACTGAACCAGTTGGTTGTTCAGATGAATCGGATAGCGATCTGGTCTGTTGGATTTCTGGAATCATTTTTAACTTCTGATTTCCTCTGATCCACACCGGCTCATATGTTTACATGCAGTGAGCTGATTAGTTCTGCTGACCAGGATCTGCCAGGAGGTTCTGGTAGCAGAACTCACTGGTTGGAACAGAACCAGAACCAGAGCCTCCAGGGGCTGGAAACTTGTGGAGGACCAGTAAAGCCAGTAAATGTAATAACAACAGGAAGCCGATCGCCTCATTAATATTGTTACATTATATGAATGACTATTCATGACGTCAGCCTGGCAGAGCTGCAGCCAGGACTGAAGCAGTGCTCTGCTGCCCCCTGCTGGTCGGACGCTGCATCGCTTCCTGAAGATGTGAAACTAGTGATGCATCTCTTTCATTTCTCAGTGAGACTTCCTGCATGTGAAGGTGGATGAATCAGATGTGCTGGTAACCATGGTGACAGCTTCATGTTTCACGTCCAGCTTGATGGATTTTCTGTTTTTTGCGTCAGGCTTTACTGACTGCTGCCCTTCACAGCCAGCCATTGTTCGCATTTCCATAAATATGCTTCTGTTGTGTAACGCCACGTTGCGTAATGTCGCCGATTATGAGCCCGTCGCCATGGCAACGGCTTCATTCCCACAAAACCCCCCAGATCTTCACCAGTAGCAGGTCCTGCTACCGGGATACTGCCAGATTATGCTCAACAGTTAGTTAAACAGGCCGGTTCTGGTCCCGGTCCGGTTCCACAGTCCTTAACCCTCCTGTCTGTCCCCAGCAGAAACGGCGTCCTGCGGCAGCAGTGACTCTTCGGACAGCGACGGCGAGCTGCTGGGTCGGTACCAGGAGGCGGTGGGCCGATCCCAGGGCCTCAGGGGAGCGGCGGGCGCCGCCGGGCCCGGGGGGGCTTCGGGTGGGACGGCCGGCAGAACTACAGAGCCCTGACCGGAGACGGCTACAGCAGCGAGGCCTCGGCGGACGATGGTACCGTGTTACCATGGCAACACACTGGCTGGATGGATGGATGATGAATGGATGAATGATGCCCCGTTAGAGAAAAAGAAGCTAAACAGGCAGCTAGCCCCTGATTGAGGCTCGCTCAGCCTGCTGCAGAGCATCAGTGGCTGAATCTGTAGAAACTAAAAGGAATCAGAACTGAGAGCAATAAAATATTTATTACACATTCTGATAAGAACGCCAACAGAACAAAATAGTCAATGTTTTCATTTAGTAGTCCTAAGTAAAACTCAAGAGGTTTTTTTCCCTTTTGAATTTTCAGATCTGAATGTTATGTTGTAGCTGCTCGGGTCGATCACACCGATCTGGTGGAATAGAAGAAGGATCTTCTCTGGCATCAACACAAACAACCTGCATGTAGCAGAAACATCTTTCACTGTAGTTTTATTCATGATTCAATGTGACTTCAGTGAAATGTGATCTCCTCACGCCGAGAAGATAAAATTATTTCCAGCTGTGATAAATAAATAACTTTTGTCTTTTAACCCAACAGAAAATCACAACATAATATTCACTGAAATGACATCAGTATCTTTTTTCAGCGCTCTTAAATTTTGTACAGTGGAATAAATAACTTAAGTACTTCATCAGCATTGCAAAAAGAAAAGGCTCAATATTAGCAGATTAGCCTTTATGAGTTAGCATCGCTAATTCATGTACAAAACATCATTTAGAGAACAGTCTCTCTTACCCATAAACTCCAGTTTTTACATTGAAACTATAAACTTATATTACAATCTAACATTTAATACGTAAGAGCAAAATATTCGTTTGAGGCTAATCGATAGCCAACTAAGCTAATTGTAGCGCAGAGCTCACCAGAGATTAACAAGAAGAAGAAAAAGAAATTTAATCTCAAAAACAAACTTCTTCCAGGAATCACAGATCAACAACAGATGAAAACTAATGAAATATAATTGAATAAATATTGAAAAGAAAATTGAGTTTTGTCAGTAAAGTGACCACAGAATGTTTTTTTCTTCTTCTGGTTCAGTCCACTGGTTCCCAACCTTTTTGTCACCGCTCAGTAAAAGTGTTCAAGCACTAAGGAAAGGCAGAAAGATGTTCACTGAATGAATTCTGCTGTAGTGAACGCTGCCATCCGCCGGTGGTCTGAGCCTTACCAGAGGAACCAAACTCCAGACCTCCAGCTGGGAGGAAGCAGCCTCTCTGCTCCATGCCAGCTGGCAGCCTCTACTTCCTGTTTACCACAGACATGCATGGGGTCAACATCTGATGACGTCACGCTCTGCGTTGCTTTGTCGAGTCGCTCCAAAGCACAGACGGAAACACAGAAACGCGCCTCGTTCCTGTTTTCCTCTTCGCACCTCTCTAATAGTTTGGTTGGAATGTGCGGGGCAGTTGTGTGGAAGGTCCTGGGAGTATGTGCTGTCAGATCTGTTGGTGATTAGAGTTAAAGCCACCAAACTCTCCCCAACCAGCCAACTGCATCCAGAGGATGAGGAGAACGCCGCCGCTGGACGAGCTCCAGCCGCCGCCCTACCAGGACGAGAACGGCTCTCCCAGGATGTCCTGCACGCTGTCGGACCTGGGCGACGCCAAGTGCGACCTGTCCCAGACCAGCGGCAGTCCTCACCTGTCCTTTGGGAAGTGCCTGAGCGACGGCAGCGACGGCCAGGAGAGCGAAGGCTACCTGAACAAAGGCTATGAGGAGGACGCCCCCAGCGACAGCACGGCCATTCTCAGCCCTGAGGTAAACGCCGGCCTTTGATCCGCCTGATGCTCCTGCTGGACCTGAACCTCTCCTCCTCTAGGACACGTCGGCCCGCGGCTCAGCCGCACGCTTCCCAAAAGGCTACGAACCCGATGCCCTCGCCAAGTACGGCACCCTGGATGTGGTGTTTGACTACGATTCTGAGGAGCAGCAGCTGACCGTGACCATCATGGCGGTGACCGACCTGCCGTCCGTCAAACGCACGGGGAACTTCTCCTGGCAGGTGCACCTGGTGCTGCTGCCCACCAAGAAGCAGCGGGCCAAGACGGCCGTCCAGCGAGGGCCCGGCCCCGTCTTCACCGAGACCTTCCGCTTCAGCCACGTGGAGACAGACATGATAGGCAACTATGCAGTCCGTTTCCGCCTCTACAGCATCCGACGCATTAAGAAGGAGAAGGTGTTTGGAGAAAAGGTCTTCTACCTCACCAAGCTCAACCTCCAGGGCAAAATGTCTGTGCCAGTCATCCTGGATCCATGCTGCAATCTCCCAGTAAGACGCACCACCGCACTCCTCCACCGCACTTTCATTGACTGCTCTTTACTTCACCTATAATTATACCGTTTGTTCCATTGATCCAAGATCTCTTGTTTCAACAGACTCCAGTTTCAATGAAACAATCCGGTCCGCTCAGTCCGACTCCAGTCTGTTGTAGTCCGACTCTGGACGGAGGGGACTTCGGAGCCTGACTCCGATCCGTTTCTCTAGAAACTTTGGTTCGGGTTTTCTTAGAGCCTGATTCATGTTGGTGTTTTGTTGGTTACTATGTAGAATCTCCTGAGTTTCTCCTGAGACTTTCAGGCCGGTTTAGTTCCTGAGGAGAAACGTTACGCGGTGATAGAAATCGATGATGATGGCTGTCTAGTTTCCCACGGTGGATACCTGGGGGGGTTTCCTGATGGCCAGCTGTGGTGTTTTCAGGGTGGGGAGTCCCAGGTCAGCCTGTCTGACCTGACGTGCAGCGACAGCGCCTCGTCCTTCCAGTCCGTCAGTCAGACCTCGGCTCCGGAGATCCTGGTGGGCCTGGTGTACAACGCCACCACCGGCCGCCTCTCTGTGGAAATCATCAAAGGCATCCACTTCAAAAACCTGGCCGCCAACAAGCCACCCAGTAAGTTCCCAGCAGCGCTCGCTTCTGGGTGTGACAGTGCAGCGGCGTTCACAGAGAAAAGCAAAAACTGCTCATAAAAGAGGACTCAGCAGTTTTAAACTCAGCACAGCAAATAAAATATCAAGCAAATCTTGTTCTTCTTGAACAACAGCTTGAGCTACAAAGTAAATAAAAATGATAACAGACCTTCAGCTGATAACTCCGTCTCACTTTACAGCCTCAATCAGTAACTTGCCAAACATGAAACACTGAGGCAAAAACACTTTTTTCTGTCAGCCACAAACATTTAAGTCAAACATGCTGACAGGGCAGATATTCTGTCTGCAGCCTGATGTTACAACATGAACTGTTCTGATTCTGTACAGTAAGTATCAGAATGTCAAGTAACTAAATAGAAAAAGTATGTTTTTACCATACAGGATGAGAATTTAAACATAACAATTTTCAGACGTATACATTGTTATACATCTCAACTCTATTTACATTTTCACTCATTTATTTTTAAACCTCCTGAAGTGCTTTTCTTTTCATGTCTCCTAACCATTATGCCCTTATAGTGTGAAAATAATGAAACTAATATTGAAATGTTGAAAGAAATGAAGC